ACACAGTGACTGAGAGCACTCGATTTGTTTTACCGAAGAGCCTTGCGTTATTAGCCGTAATAGTCACTGTTTGCAAACTCACATTCCCTTCTCAGAGAGCTCAACCGAAATATTTTTTCAGGAGCATATATATATATATATATATATATATATATGTGTGTGTGTGTGTGTGTGTGTGTGTGTGTGTGTGTGTGTGTGTGTGTGTGTGTGTGTGTGAAGGGATACTGAGCTTAACACCGAACGGCGACAATCTGTTTCACCCTTGAATGCAATATAATAACAATGCTTGTTGTGTTTTGACTCGCTTAATTATATATACTTATCTGTAGTGCATTATATGTAGCAAAGTCTATAATATTATCCTATCAGTTATGCGTGATATTTCAAATTATTCTACATTCTATTGAATAGGAATAAGTGTGGATCTGAATGCAGTTCTAATGAAATTTTTGTAACAAAGCCAAAACATGTTTATAATACAACAATCGCATACTCACTACAGTGTAAAAAAGACAAGAATAGGAACATTATCTGATTTAACACAGCGTACAAGAAAATCATAAAACAGAAGTAGACAAAATACTCTTTAAACTAATACACAAAACTTCCCATCAACCACTTCTCACGATGTATCCACCATAAGCCCAGTAAATATTATCTACCTTTGAATCAAGAATACAAAACAAATTATCATCAGAAATATATCCAATAAACAATCGGCAAATATCAACCCCGTATGTAGCTACAGAAAAATAACCAGTATCCCTTAAATGGCAATTACTTGGAAAACAATATGATATACTAAGTCAGCAGATAACGAATAGAAATTATATATAGAAATAACTGGAGGACGCGGCAAATAGAAAAACTAAGCCCAACAAAAATATCATTTACAAACAGTAAATACAAAAACAGCACAATACTTTCCAAACATATATGGGGAATTAAAATCAAAAACCAAATAACGCTAAAAAAGATGTCATGGAAAACAAGGAAAAACAGCATAAGTTTACAACAATAAATTCAAATGCTATAAGCTCTGTCTAGAGGAGAAAATAGTTATAGTCACCTTCCCAGACAAAAAAATATTACTAAATAAATGATGAGAACTTATCCCAAAAATGCAAAACATGTAATCATTATTTAATATGTTACTTCAAAATTTAAACTACAAATGAATATACTGTACAATGCCACACGGAAAAAGTAAATGTAGGCACTATATTCAACTCACATAATGTAACATACTTTAGACAAATGCAATATTTTAAACTAAACAAATAAGATAACCAAACCCCAGAGAAATAAGAAAAAAAAATCTTTAAATAAATAAATGAATAAATTAAATAAGAAAAGCATTATCAAACTGCGAATGCACACAAAAATATAAGTAAATATAATAATAATAATAATCAACAACAATTAATCAATCAATAATATATCATGAGTAAGATTCTAAGAAGCACAACTACAAAATAGTTACAAATAGCAGCATTCGGATCAATTATTCCTACTCAATCGTCTCTGGAATAAGTTAAAAACATATTTATGACCGCCTACTCAATAAGCGTTAGGATGACGCAATATGCGTTTCTACCCATGATGAAAATTAATCATCATATATCAATAGTGAAGCCAAAGCAAAACATATATTACATTCAAGTAGACTGTTGCCATACGGTTTTCACCTCAGTACCTATCTTTATCTTTCAATATGATCATATCATAATACTTTTACCCACAAATATAGCATACCTTACAACTATATTTTCATAATACATATATATGGTGGACTCTCGCGTCGTATTAGATGTATGAGTGTCAAGAAGCTCAGGTCCTAGGAATATGCTTTGATTATAGTGGTGGAGGATTTCTGCAGAACCAATCGCACCTTTTGAAAGAACGAATGCAGAAACCTCGTGTACTCCGTAAGACAAGCTCCCCAAACAGGCCTCCATAGGTTTTGAATTCAGAGTTGTCCTTCTCCTAGACCAGTTGCCATCCAAGGCTATAGGACCCAGTCTGTCCTACTGTTTACCTAAACCTGGATGGAGAAGAAGAAGATAAATACCTTTCCCAAGGGTATTAGCATGTGAGTGAATGTAATGGATTTGATTGGAATTCGAACTCAGTTCTACGATTCCTCAATCTGTGCCTCTATTCACTACTCCTCTCTCTCTCTCTCTCTCTCTCTCTCTGTATATATATATATATATATATATATATATATATATATATATATATATATATATATATATATATATATATATATATATATATATATATATATTAGTGTGGAGAGAGACAGAAAGAACGAGAGAGAGACAGAAAAGGATTAACTGTTTGAGATTGACAATTATGTAAACAGATAGATAAATGAACACTAAGTTGACTTCCCATTGAATAATTATTAATAATTAAATTAATAATAATAATAATTATAATATATATATATGTATGTATGTATGTATGTATCTATCTATCTATCTATTTATCTATCTATTTATCTATCTATCTCTGTATATATATATATATATATATATATATATATATATATATATATATATATATATATATATATATATATATGTGTGTGTGTGTGTGTGTCCTTTCCTTATTTGACATATGATTCTTTCCATATAATCTATCTGCATACTATTTTCTCCATGTAATATTTCTCTTCTTGTCACGCTTTTGTAGTTTGATGTAATCACTAAACTTTCTTTCTCTTTAAATTATCTTTCCACATCATCTCTCTTTCTCTCTTGCAATTTCAGCGACCCATCATTCATGTTATTTTCCTGACACCCGAGTGCCTATACTTTTTTATTTCTTCTTTTTCTTTTTTGTTAAATAAAACTTTTATTTTCTTTTATTTTTCAGTGTCACCTCCCGATGTTCTTTGTAATATCAAAGGTTATAAAATCTTCATTTCTAAACTCAAGGAAATGTGTTTTCCTAATGTTCTTATTTAATATCTCTTTTTTTTACGTTTATCACATTCGATATTTTATGATTTAACTTTTGCAAACGCTGTTTCTCTTATTTTTTCATGTATTTATTTCGCCAACCACATTCGACGTAATTATTTTCTGAGTTTGTCTTCTTACTGGCTGCTGAATTTTTACAGTTAAGCAGTGATCCCGCCTAATTAGTCCAGATATGTTGGTGTATTCAGTAAAATAATAGTTTACTAATCAGAGTATCTGAATAATAAAAAAGAAATCTGATCAAGTTTTTTCACGAATATTTTGAAGGTTAAGTTCAATAGTAATTATATACAGTGCCACGCAAAAGTTTACGACACATTAGACAAAATTATTTTTTTTTCTAATACAGTCACATTAATCAAACTTTTACTGCTTGTAAAACATATATTTATGTATTCAGACAAATAACCAGTTTTTTTTTTTAAAAAGAAAACGATATTTAGTAATTCTAAAGTTTACAACACATTTTTTTATTATTTACAACATCTTCTTTTTCTAAAGGTGTCCAAATTTTTCAATAATGTTCGAAATTAGGATGGGGTTCTTTTTCAGAACTTTCCAGTTTCATTTTAGGATTACCTTCAGGAATGATTGAAGTATTTCGTCATTCTTTTTCTGGTAACCGTCCTTTAAAAATGGACAAAATGGAGAAAAGCTAAATAATTGATCAAGACCTCTGTAAATATATGCTTGACCTTAATGCAAATGTACTTGATTATAGGAAAATATCTAGTCTGTTAAATGTGCCATTGAGTTCAGTTCGTACGATAGTTCGTCACTGGAAGACGTTTCATTCCATTCGTCACCCCAAAATCTCTGGCCGTCCTAGAAATGTAACGGTACGTACGGCAGGATTATTGGCGAGAGAAGTTGGCAACGAGCCCCGTGTTACGCTTTAAGAACTTCAGGGTTGACTAGAAAGTAATTAGAATAAATATTAGTACGGAGACAATTAGTCGTTCACTTCGTTGATGTGACATCTTTTCGAGGACTCCAAGGATAAAACATTTCTTAAGCGAAAGCACATTCTTCTAGACTGGATTTTGTCAAACCTGCAGCATTTTGGGAAAATGTATTTGATCAGAGGAAACGAAAACTGAGCGTTTTGAAAGAAATGCTTTGGCAAAGGTCTGGAGAAAAAAGGGTACTGAATATTCGCCGAAGAATACTATCCCAACAGTAACATTCTGAGGCGAATCAATCATGATCTGGGGTTACTTTAGTGCCCAAGGTTTAGAGAACATTGAAATAATAGAATGGCGGATGAATGAAGCACATTATAGGGATATTTTGAAGAAAATATTACGTCAGAGTGCACATTCAAGAAGTTATGAAAATATATATATATATATATATATATATATATATATATATATATATATATATATATATATATATATATATGTCAGTTCTGTGCCATGTGTGATTCATGCTTAGGGCGATCATGTATCTTTCGATACATGACTGATAAGACAGAATGTTTCCATCCAAGTATATAAAACTCTGTACTGTTATTTATCTATGGCTGGGGGAAGAAGAAGAGGCTTCATACCTTTCCCAATTAGCAAGTGAATGTAATGGATTTGTATGGAATTCGAACTCTGCTCTCCGATTCCTCAATCCGAGCCGTTACCCATTACTACTACAGACAATATACTTTCCCGATAACTAAGAGTTTAACTCTAAGGACAATCGTTATTTATCCTTTATATCCTCATGACACACACTTCTTTCTTCTGTACTGCTACATTGTTCAATAATACTCTACTTTGAGTGGATCTTGGTCTCACAATAGTATTAATGTTTTTGAATATATCAGGCTGAAAAAAAAAACAATTGTGTGGCATATTCTTCAAATGTTGTCTGTTCATTAAATTTCTTACTCTATCCGCTTGCATCATGTACATTCGATTGTGACATTTTGTCTTTTAAGTCTTCACAACAGAAAAGTCATAGATAGAATTTTAAATATGAAATGTATTTTCAAACTGTTCATAATGCTTTCCTGCTTATGACCACATCACTTTGAAACAGCAGGATTCATAAGATCACCGATGTTAAGTAACGTCGAGCCTGCTCAGTAATTAGATGGGTGACTTCTTGGGAATACCAGGTTTTATAAGCGTGGATGCGTGGCTGGTGTAATGAATAACAGCTCGGATTTGGAAATTGGAGAGCTGAATCCCATTTCAAGTCAGGTTCATTATATTCACTTACGGGCAAAAACCCTTCGGAAATCTATAAATCCGCCTCTTCGACCCCAGCAATCGGTTGATTAATAGGACTCCTATCATTGAATCATTATCTTCCCACAAAAAAATTAGTAAACTTTAAAAATATTTTCTGGCTTAAATTAACCTGCCAAATTTTGATAAGCTGTAAAAAAAAACAAAAAATCAAATCATTCTTTTTTCATTTTTTGAAAATTCATTTCGGATATTAATTCCCTTCTTATAATTTCTAGCGAGAAATATCAAAACGTAGTATGAATTATTTTATTTTTTTTTAATTAGCTAAATTCAATTGATTATACCAATCGATTTTATTTCAGATACGTAGCAAGGGTTTCTACCGATTAGAATTTCTTACCACATGATCGACTCAGTCACAAATTTTTTCAAAGTCGTCAAGTAGATAAACCTCTGAGGTAAGTTGAATTTAATGTCTGCTATCCTAAGAAATAATTCTAACTTCGAATATCCCGCGGGGCGACTCGATATAATCAAAGACACTTTCATAAAATGTCTACCGACTTCGATTCAATCATTTAAATGTAAATAGGTAGACATTTGATAAAATTACACATTATCTCGTGTGATTGAATTTTTTTTTTCTGAAATAGAAAATCATATTTCGCCATTGTTCTGTTTTAATAGTATTCGGAAATAAAAATCTCGAGGCAAGGGTATTGAAGAAATTAAAATCCCAAAAGATTATATCTGACGATAGCTGAAAAGAAAGACACACACTGATGTTGTTGTCGCCGAATATAAGAAATAAAGAAAAAAAGCTAATTCTACGCCTACGATGTAGAAGAAAATATATCAGTTGATTTTAATGCAATGTAACATAACACAACATGCAAAGATTAAACCGTATTTTCATTGGTGCGAATGAACTAACAGTTGAAACGTATTCAGCATCCGTTTCGTTAACCATTGACCTTCATAATGATACCATATGAACATGACTCGATCTTCCCTTCTCTATAGGTTAAATAGCTGAACAGACTGAGATATTAAGCTTTCGTTAGCATTGGAAAACGGTTTTAATTGTGTTCACATAAGCATGGCTAATATATAGTTTACAGATTTTTTAAAAAATCATTTCCCTTCAAGTAAAGCATTAGAGTGGTTGATGTGTACAGTTTTACTGAGAGAGAAGTTTTTGAGAAACAATATGGAGAGACGACAATAAATGAACAGGTTCAATGAGACAGAAAATGCCCATTTAAATTGCATTTACACTTTTGGGGAGATGAAACCTGACTAGAAAGCAAGAAGTTGGAAGACCGTTCAACAAATGTAGAAACACTTAGCTAAGGGCTTATGCTCACATCTTGCATACACATCTCTAAATTGAGGAGACATAGCTACCAATCTAGTATTGCATTTACATTCGTAAATTCGAGATACCAAAGAGGAAAGCTCATTAGAACATTTAGCATGATAATATTTATAAAAAAATGCAAAGAGAAGCTACTTTACGGATGTGGGAATGTGACTGAATCCGAGATGCCGAGACAGATTCGATATTATATATATATATATATATATATATATATATATATATATATATATATATATATATATATATATATAAGCTACATATAGAATAGGTCTAAAAAAAAAGAAACAAAAAAGTGACTTTGCTAGAATTCAAACGGCAGCCATCGTTACTGATTAATAAATAGTTATCCAAGTTTTGAAAACTCATAATTTGCGATAATTATTTTGGTGCCGCAGCGATCTTCCTGTCGTCTACACGAAAGCCTAAGACGAGAAGATCAGCGGATGTAAACGGAACAGTAATATTAGAATTCCAACAAGGATTGAAAAAAGTTGGGCAAAATGGCCGATGTCTAAATAGAACAGCAACATTGAAATCGAAAAATTCAGTAGAGGAGATTATGAAGTATGAACGGAAAGCATAAATGTATGGTGCTGTTATTGAAAGAGAGAAAACCTAAAAAACAGGTCAGGCGAAACTTTAAAGCATTTGTTCAAATCGTCTATGGATGGGAAGTTTAGACGCTCACGTAGTAAAGTGGATGGCGCTCAAAAAACTATCAATAATATCGCGGCTCAGTCAATCTCGTCGTCTGCTTTAGCATTTGCTTGAAACGTATTTATTTATTTGTTTTCGTTTTTTTTTTTTGCTTTTAATATGTCCTCCTTTCCAGCGTTGATAATTTCTTTTCTCCATCCCCATTAATACGGGTTTTATCTCCATTGTGTAACTCTTTTCTATTCACAGACAGCAATGAAAACTATTCTAAACGAGTTGTACTCTCTATTGTCGTTCCATGTGCCATGGTTGACTGCTCTCCACTCGCTACAAATCCTCGTTACAGCAGACAAAATACGAAGCTTGTCTGATGCGATCAATCTGGGAAGAGAAAGTAACCATCTTCTGTCCACCATTATAATCAGTTGAAAAATCAGTCTCTTCTACTTTATCAATAATAATATTCTCTGAACGTAAGACATATTATCGTTCAGTTTTGTTTATGACTGTAATGTTGTTTATATAACAAAGTTATGATCTATGAATTCAATGGTCTATCTACGGAATATATTGAATTGTTTCCTATTCATAGAACTTTGAATGGAAATTCTTTAATCAGATATAGCATATACCTAGCAATTTATATGTTTCCTTTTGGGGATGGAATTCTCTTAGTATTCATGTAAATATGAAGTTTAATGTCATGCAATACATAAAATTCGTTGAAAGCCCTTGTGCATATGGCTTAATGTTTAGGATGTAATGTTTTCAGAATACGATTACTGCAATTTTGTCCTGAAATTATGGGATAAATATTAGCCAAATTTACATTATTACAGGATAAAATAATCTAGTGATTAAAGTTTCTAAATTTGATGATATATTTAACTGTGAGTTCACTCAGCTAATATTGAATTAGACTTAGTAGAAAGCCAGCGAGTAATAACTGAGCAATATTGAATACAAACAAACAGAACGAGAACAAAATAACTCAGTAGAATAAATAATTGTTTCGATATATAATACACACTCTCTTTTCACCATTAAATTGTATTTTTTATTGAGCAAGCTTACTATGTAGGACTTCAATTTCCTATCCGTGTGCATGTAAATGTATCTCCATTTGAAGACATATGCCGGGCATATATACCCGGCAGGCATATATATATATGGCAGTTGGTTCAGGGAAGGGTGAAATATTGTCAAAGAAAAACAATATACGTACAGGTGTGAGTGTTGTGAATAACATTTCTTCTCTTTCTTTTTTCTATTTGCCGAGAACTTTACCTTTAAAGCAATTAAATTACTATATATTTCACATCTGTGTTGGAGGCTTTTTAGGTTTTAGCATGTCGCCAATGTGTTGTGTTCTAACCTGTAGCAATAAAATAGAAAACAGTAATAAAAAATACCAATAATAAAAACAGTTTCAGACTGTGGGTTTTCGTGACATGTACTTGAATGGTGATATCGCAATCATATGATAAATATTTATTTCGTAGCTCTCTTGTAAAATAAAATATATCGAAATATCAATTCATATATGACGTGTGGATTAGGCTGATTCTGTTCTTCTTATTCTTCATTATACGTGGTCCATTTTGAGTGTTGTCGATCAGGGCTCTCCACAACTTCCGACCCGTATGGCTCTTAATATTTTTTTTGTTTTTTCGTTACCGTTCATAATTTCTATTCTGCCAAGATTTGACACAAACTTTTTCTGTATGTTATTTACTGATTTTCTCTGTCATGCTTTCTTTTAATATGTTCTGTAATTGTCAAATTATATAAGCCGTCTTTCTTCATTATGCAGCAAAGACATTTCAATTATCTCTTTCTGATTTACTGCAGAAAAATCCTTTTAGTTTCCATATTCAGCAAAACTTCTCCGTTGCTCTATTGTTCAATACATGCCTTTGAACTACATTTCTGTTACCTTAGGTATCCTCTTCATCTTGTTAAGAGATTGTTCTGCGTTCGCTGCCCTATAGGAGGTCCGATATTACATAACAGTTCAGTACAGTTTGATTTTAACGTAATTTTCTCGTTTTTAAGACTTAGCATTTAGAAGGTTACTTCTCTATTTCAATGCGTCTTCGGATTTACGGTCACAGCATTTTGGTCTGTTCATTTCTATTTAACTATTCTATCAATTTATTTGTTTTTGAGCCTTGTAGTGAATGAATATTATTATAATTTTTGGCAAAGGTTCAGACGAGCTGATCTCCTTTGTTCCAACAGTCTAGATATTCACAAATTTAGACACTTTTGTTCTCGTGAATTCCTACACTGACCAACAAACTCCCGCTGGGATGCTTCCCGGCACACTATAATCATAACCGAAATAGTATTATACTAGTCTCTTCAAATCAAGGATCAATCGCTATCCTTATCCTAATTATCTTGACTTCCTTCCAGTTACTATGATTCAGTAACTCTGTACTTTGACCGATTCTTCAGACTTGTATTGAGTGAATATTAATCGGATTTTTGTCTGATATATTCTACGGCCTTCTCTTGTCTTTTGTAAGTGGTATTCGCTAACTTTTGCTCTCTTTCATTTTTTGTGTTTCTTACCGTCAAACTCGACCATCTAGGCGAGAATCTAAAACCACACATTTACTGTAGGTTTACTTATCAACCCTAGCTGAAGCAAGCATCGAAAAACAAAGTTAAGAGGATGAATCTCTGTTTAAATATTGACAAGGGAGAGTCCAAATTATATATATATATATATATATATATATATATATATATATAAAAACATTTAGAACATTATCAACGGGAGTTAGAAGGCCCGCTTATTTATATAAATACATTTCTAAAAATAAATTATTCACTCGTATACAAACAGAATTACACCTCAAATGTCTATAAGCGAAGGTAAA